AGAGCAATAAAACCAAACCACAGTATGTCACCTCATCCCTGTTGGTGCAGCTGTTGTTAAAAAATGAAAACGTAAGTTGGGTAAAGATGTGGAGCAATGAAAACCTTTGCATACTCTTAGTGGGAATCTAAATGAGTATAGCTATTAGTGAAAACAATGTAGAGGTACGTAAAAAAGCTAAAGCTAGAACTAGCAAATGATCAGCCATTCCACTGCTAGGTTATATCCAAGAGAAAGGAGAATGCCCACAGGAGCCACCAGCATGCCCAGCTTCAGTGCAGCGTCGTGCACGGTGGCCAAGATGCGGAGAGAACCCAGTACCTGTCCAAGATGAGTGGATTAAGATAATGTGGTCTACGTGTGTAATATAGAAGGGAATGTTCTTCAGCCTTAAAAGGAAGACTGTCCTTCCCATGAAATCCTGCTTGGGTTCAGGGTCAAGGCAACATGCATGAACTTGGAGAGTGCGATGCTAAGTGAGATGAGCCAGGCATAGGCTAATACAAATATGTGGGAATCCAAGCAAAGCCAGACTCTGTGGAACAGAGTTGAAGTGTGATTACCTGGGGCCAGGTGCTGGGTGGAAGGGAGGAGATGTTGGTCTACAGGCACGAAGTTATGATTTCTGAGATGGGCCGGTCCTGGACACGTAGTGTGTAGCAGAGTGGCTATGGGTAATAATAGTGTGTAGCTGGGATTTGCTGGGGCGATGTTAAGCAGCAACACACACACACACACACACACACACACAGTTTTAGTTATGTGAGATGGTGGGTATATGAAATGGCTATAGTAATTACATCATGGGTATGTGTTTCAGAGCACATGGTATAGCTTAAATATATACAATCATTTGTTAGCTCTGCTTCAGTAAATCTGGAAGACAGGAGTAGACTTGTGGAGACAGGAAGCGGGTCGTGGGAAGAGGAAGTAAAAATGATGAAGATGTGATAGGTGTATGGCCAACTCCCTGAGACGAACATAGTTGGTATGAATGTAAACACACCAGTAAAAATTTTAAAAAGTAAATATTTCAATGTCTCCTTAAGAAATGTTCATAGAAGAGTGAGGATTTTTTTTTTTCAAGCTTATAGAAGCATACAGGAAAATGTAAAAATGACTATGCGAATAATTAGCTTGAGTAATTCATTGGCCATTAGCTTTTGTTCAGAGACGCCAATAAAGCGTTCTTCATAAAGACACCATCGGCTGGCTGTGTTGAACGTCAGGACTTCCAGGTATTTCTGATGAGCTTTGTAGAATACAAGGTGTTTAGTGTGCATGGCATGCTCTTTTAGACAGATTTTGTGACATGATAGCCTGGTATTTAATGGTATCACCCCATAACAGCGGAGACTACATTCTAGGGAGATGCATTTTAAGTGTAAAGAATGTGAGAAAGGGCTGGGGACAGGAAGCGGGTGGTCTAAGTGCCTGCCTGACAAGTGCAAGGACCCAGGATTGATTCCTGGTACCACATGCTGTGCCAGCCCTGGAAGCCTGGGCATGTTATACTGGTCCTGAAGGTGGCACACGCCTATAATCCTAGCACTGGGGAGACTGAGACAGGATCACTATGAGTCTGAATTACATAGTGAGACTGTACCAAATAAGTTTAAAAAAAAAATTTGCTTTCAATTTACAATATGAATTCAGTCTTAAGTACACTGTAGACTAAATATTGAAAAGTAATAGCTCTTAGATTCTTTATTTTTTTTGGGGGGGGGACTGGCTCTGCCCATCCTGAGGACAGGGCTGGCATGGCATGTGGTACTGGAGATCAAATCACGGCCCTCTGCACCTGCCTAAGCTTGCCTAAGCAGGTGCTTTAGACTGCTGAGCTATCTTGCCAACCCTAAAAGTAGTAGCTCTTAGAGCTGCAGAACTTAAGTTGATTAGATCAGTAATTAGCGAATTAAGTAATTAGTGAATTAAGTTCACCAAATTTCCTTTTACCATGTTCCTTTTTTTCTAGCAAATGATAAGAGAGATCATCGTTTGCTTGGTATGTTTCAGGCCACCAATCTGTACGTGAGATCCAGAAGTTATTTCTGAAGCAGAGCTCCTATGCTGAGGTGGTCACAGACAGAACATCAGGCACCAAACTTGAGGGTTCCACTTTCCAAGAAAGTTGGGATTCTGAGTGTGCGTTTGAGAGGAAGCTAGCAGACGAAGAGACACAACTCGAGCAAGGGGCTGCTTCTCATAACAAAGCTGTCCCAAAGGAGAGAGAGCACACATTTAACAAGTCTGGAAGATGGTTCCATTTGGACACTGCGGAAGAAAGAGTCCATAGTGGCATTTCAGGTAAAAGTTTCAAAAAAACCTCAGTGGTAATAAAACAGACAGGAATCTATGCAGGAAAGAAGCTTTTGAAGTGTAATGAGTGTAAGAAAACCTTTACCCAGAGCTCATCCCTCAATGTCCATCAGAGAATTCACACTGGAGAGAAGCCCTACAAATGTAACGAATGCGGAAAGGCCTTTAGTGACGGTTCCTCCTTTGCCCGACATCAGAGGTGCCACACAGGCAAGAAGCCCTACGAGTGTGTGGAGTGCGGAAAAGCCTTCATACAGAACACATCCCTTATCCGTCACTGGCGATACTACCACACGGCGGAGAAGCCCTTTGACTGTGTCGATTGCGGGAAGGCCTTCAGCGATCACATAGGGCTTAATCAGCACAGGAGGATTCACACCGGAGAGAAACCGTACAAGTGCGACGTGTGTCACAAATCCTTCAGGTACGGCTCGTCCCTTACTGTCCATCAGAGGATTCATACTGGAGAGAAACCATATGAATGTGACGTTTGCAGGAAAGCCTTCAGCCATCACGCATCACTCACCCAACATCAGAGAGTACATTCCGGGGAGAAACCTTTCAAGTGTAAAGAATGTGGCAAAGCTTTTAGGCAGAACATACACCTTGCGAGTCACCTGAGGATCCACACGGGGGAGAAGCCCTTCGAGTGCAGGCAGTGTGGGAAGTCCTTCAGTATTAGCTCCCAGCTCGCCACGCACCAGAGGATCCACACAGGAGAGAAGCCCTACGAGTGCCAGGTTTGCAGCAAGGCCTTCACTCAGAAGGCCCACCTCGCCCAGCATCAGAAGACTCACACGGGAGAAAAGCCGTACGAGTGTAAGGAGTGTGGGAAGGCCTTCAGCCAGACCACACACCTCATCCAGCACCAGAGGGTTCACACTGGGGAGAAGCCCTACAAGTGTGTGGAGTGTGGGAAGGCCTTCGGTGATAACTCGTCCTGCACGCAGCACCAGAGACTACACACTGGCCAGAGGCCGTATGAGTGCATCGAATGTGGAAAGGCCTTCAAGACGAAGTCATCCCTCATTTGTCACCGCCGAAGCCACACCGGAGAAAAGCCTTACGAGTGTGGTGCGTGTGGCAAAGCCTTTAGCCATCGCCAGTCGCTGAGTGTGCATCAGAGGATTCATTCTGGGAAGAAACCATATGAGTGTAAGGAGTGCAGGAAAACCTTTATCCAGATTGGGCACCTCAACCAGCACAAGAGAGTTCATGCTGGGGAGAGAGCCTGTGGCCACAAGAAGAGCAGGAGGGCGTTCAGGCCGACTGCACACTTTGCCCACCACCAGCGGACTCCCCCGGGAGAGGCGTCCGCGTGTCCCTCACTGCCTGCCACATCCAGTCCCCTGGATCTGTTCCCCAAGTTTCTGTGGCCCCCACCCTCACTGCCGTCATCGTAGCCTCATGACACTCATTTCACTTGCACTCATCGCTCAAACTCTGCCCCTCTGTTTTGGTCCCTGATTGACACATTTGTTCTTCACATTATAGTCAGGCTGGGGTGTTTGTTTTTTTTTTAAGTGTAAATGTAACTCACTTATAAAAGCTTGTGTCGTGGTCCTCTCACTTGGCTAATGAACAACATGCTCCCCTTGGTGCCTGGTCCACACCAAGTGCCTGCTAATCTTAGTTCTTTTAAAAGCATTATTTTTGAAATTTGACAAATTGCCAGTCAACTCTAATAAAAAATGGTGCTGTAGGATGAGGCAAGGAGAAACCAGGTATTGCTCCAGGAATGGAGTGCCCGAGGCGGTTAGGTTTTGCCTCTGTGTGTTTATATCGTGATGCCCTTGTGCACCTTGTGCACTCTGGCTTTCCAGGCAGTCTACGTGTAAGGTGGGAAGATTCAGCTTGACTGTAAGAAGACGCTGTTAGTCTGGAGAGTGTGAGTAGGCCAGCAGGGACGGATGGGGTAAAACCCCTGGAGAGACAGATTTATACACACAAAGTTAAAACTGTCAGCATTACTCAGGAATGAGAAAACTCAGCAGAACTTAGTTCACTGAACACATTGGTTTATGAATAAATTCTAATACACTTTCAAGGACCCATAGATGCTTGGGTAAACTGAGGCAGAGCAGAGTCCGCAAACTGACTCCTGGTCAAAGTGTCTAACTTTTTGTATGGCCCATTACCTCAAAATTTAAAAATATTTTTAAGTGGTCAAAAAAGAATATTTCAGCATCATAATGCGAAGTTTAAATCTCAGCACCAGTGTCAGAGTTGCCTTGGCCAGCAGCTACACCAGTCTGCTTACTGTCGGGCTGCGTTCGGGCTTCCTCAGCAAAGCTGTGACACGCGACTCACAGTCGCACGTGCTCACTGCCAGTACCTTCTCGGAACGCTTGCTGATCCTGGTCTGGAGTTTCCTGAGAAACCGCAACTCTCGGCCCAGATTCTGTCAGCTGCTGGTTTTGTCAGTGGTTTTACTGAACCACAACCATCCCCATTGTCCTTTTACACAGCAGCAGCATGGAGTATCTGTAACGGAGACAGGCCTGCAGGGCCCCAGGTGCTTGCTGTTCCCTTCTGGGACATTTGCCAACCACTGCTCTAGCATAAAGGAAGCTACGCAAAGGTTTTTCATTTTATGAGAGTAATAGAACACTTCAAAAACAAAACAGACTGAAAACCATATGAAAAGTGAAATTATTAAACTATCAAATTAGAAAATGTCAAAGGGAGAGAATATTTTTAGATAAAATATTCAGTATTCTTAAAATGTAAATTTGATTGAAAAACAGTCACAGTAGGGTACATTCACTTTGGTGGGATTTTTTTTCCCCTGAAACATGAAGCGTGAGACAAGAATGACAAGGATATTTTTTAAATAGGTTTTTTTTTTTTTTTTTCTTCCATCTGAGGCTTGTTACGTCAGTGTTTCAATTTTAGGGAAATGACATTTGAAAATTGTCCACATGTCCAAAATGGAAGAAATACATTTATGCCTTACAGGTAACTATAGGACAATATTGAACATACCTAGTTATAAAGTACGATGTTAAGAGGCAAACGGGCAGGATGCCTTCAGCAAGTAGGATGCGTGGTCCTAGGAGCTGCAAAGGCAGAAACTAAGTGGGCCTGCCTCATAATTTAAAAAGTCACCAAAAACATGTAAAGGTCAACATGGTAGGGAACGCGTGCAAGCCGTAAAGCTGGCCGGCGAGGAGCCTGCTGTTCCACCTGCAGAGTGGCGGGGGCAGCTGACAGCCGACAGCAAGGGAGCCGTTCAGAGCAGGCACGTGGTCAACCGCATGAAAACAACAAAAACTACCGAATGAAAACAAAATTTTCTTGGCCCTTAGCTGGGTTAAAGTCTAAGCTTCGTGTGATCCCAGTACTGGTTTCCGTGAGAGAACAAATCCTTGTCTTCGTGAGCAGTGTAAGTCTGTCTCCTCCCTGCCTTGGATCATGGTGACCCGTCCGCAGTAGAATTGTGTGATTCTTTGGGGCAGCAATTCCAGGTCTAGGAAATGGATCCCACAGGAATAAAGAGATGCATACGTTATGACAGAATTTTAAAAATTATGACAAGGATTCGCTGTCCTGTCAAATGGATGGCCTAAATCGTGGTATTTGGTACTGTATTGTACAGTTGGCAGGAACATGTTCAGCATCACGTCTGTGCCTGAAGAGAGCCTTCGACAACACACGCAATGAAATATGACACTTGCAGAATGCTATGTGTAAAAGGATTTGGATATAGGAATTCATTGATTTTAATCTTTATCTGGTACAGGGTATTGCTGTGCAGCTTGGGCTTGTAGTGATCCCCCTGTCTCAGTCTCCCCGGTGCTGGGATTGCAGGCGTGCGCCACCACAGCCATTTTTGGTGGCATGGCATGTGGTACCAGGGATCAGTGCCTGGGTCCTTGGGCTTGTCAGTCAGGTGCTTAGACCACTGAGCTATCTCCCCAGCTCCTGTAAAATGATTTTGTAGTCAAAATTAGTGAGTATGCATGTGTGCGCACATGCATACATGGGGATATTTTTCGTCTTTTTTTTTTTTTCTTGTTGTAGGGACTTTCCCTTTTTCCACTGTGCATTCTGCCAAACTGTCAGTCACACATGGATCCAGTTAAGCCAACCAGACTTTTCATCCTTTGTACTTGGAGACAGGGATAGAAGCAGGGCCAGTATTCAGCTTCATGAATCAGTAGGGCCATGATGGATGTTTGTATATGAAGATTTGTCTGCGTGTGTACTGACGTTAGAATTTTGGGAATGCAGCAGTTTCTTTGTTCCAACTCTGCCTCTTTCAGTCTGTGTCACCAGTGTTTATACTAAGCTGATTCTCTTGAAAGCTGTAAATTCATGCGAATCTCATTGGGGTAGAGATGAACCATAGGCACACATCTCTTTAGATCCGCTTCTTAGAGACCTAAGTATTTGAGCATCTCTGTGATAGTTCTCCTTAATTCTTTAGAGAACTTGGTGTGACTATACAGTATTCATTGATCTTCCTGAGGTTCTAACAAAGTATGTTTTAGTCCTGCTCTCAGTTCCTCTGCCTCAATTACTTATCTGTACCATGGATTTTTATCTTTGCTTGGAAAATATTTTTCCTGATTTTAGCATAATTTCTAATGTGTAGAAGCTGAAAAATTTCAAAACCCAAATGGCCTTGTTTCTTGTTAGCAGTCTTTTCAGTTTGTATTTCTTCTCTTTCAACAGCAGGAAAAACAGGCAATGCCTTCAACACATTGCTTCAGAGTTTCGTTAGCTTGAGCACCCAATTCTGCCGAACTTCCAGCCACTTTGCAACAAGGCCCCCTTTTGTCTCGATTTCAGTAGTTTTATCTTTCTCTTATTCTTTAGGCTCCTAAGGTCTGAATTTTCTGTGTGATCCCCTCTTTACGTAGGTGTGATACAGCCTGCAAGCATCACGGCAAAGGCCGGGGGACAGAGTCAAGGCTTCCACGCTTCCTGCTCCAGGGAGACGGAGGCTTCCGGTTGGGGTCTCCCAACTGAACTACACGTGACCCAAACAAAAGTTGTTACTCTTCAAAAAAAAAAAAAGTGACAGTCTATACAGTGTCATTCAAAAAGAATCATTAGATCCATGTAAAACAAGAAAAGAAGCCAAATACAGAAGAACAAGTAACAGAGGCCAATCCTAAGAAAACGCCAATACTGGAATTAGTAATGTTATAGCCAATTATGATTCTGAATAATATGAAGGATATGCTAAGTAATATAAAGAAATGTGCTGTTAACGAACAGATGAGAATTTTTTCAAATGCATAAATGAATTCAGAAATGGGAATCCTGGAACAGAAATATTTGAGAGGAAACTTATTGGAGAGGTTTAACAGGAAATGAGAGGATGACGAGTCAGTGGAGTTGAATAAACGTAAGTGGACATTGAAAGAGAAATCCAAAGGACTGAACAGTGCTTCGGTGACTTATAATAATGTCAAAAGGTCTTACACGTGTGTTTAGAGTTAGCACAAGAGAATGGGTGACATATGAATCCTGTTTGAATTATGTCCACAATTTCCCCAATTTTTTGGTGAAAAATTACAAATTTTCACATTCAAAAAATTACAAAATGCCACATAGGATAAATACAAAGAAAAGCATAACTTTGTTGCATCATTATACACCTGCTAAAAACAGCATGAAAAACACCTGAAAATTGAAATGACAATGAAAAATACCCAAGTGTTGTAAACAGAAGCAATAATATGAATGAATGTTGGCTGGATTTTAATAATCAGAAGATAGGGGAATGACAGTTTTTAAGTGCTAGTATAAAGGTTTCAACCTAGAATTTTATATTAAGAAAAAATCCCCTTTAAAATGAAGGCAAAATATTTTCAGATAAATAGAATATTAAATACTATCACTTTGCTCTAGCAAAGCAACAAGAAATGCTAAAAAGTTCTTCAGATCTTACAGAAAGATGAAATAACTGAGGCAGCCAGGCTAGATGGGTTGGAGATGGCCAGTTTCCTCTTCCAGAAGTCCAATAAAACTCTAGTAGGACTGGGGAGATAGCTTGGTGGTCTAAGCACCTGCCTGGCAAGTGCAAGGACCTGGGTTCAATCCCCAGTACCACATGCTGTGCCAGCTACTGAAACATACATACAGTGAAAGGGAGAAAAAGACGCCTGCTCTCTGCTGCTCCTCCCTTTTCCCCCTTGTTTCTTTTGCTGTTTTTCCCCGCCATAAACTTTCCCTCTCTCATGTGCCACTCTGCGTTGGAGCCAGCTCAGTATAGACTGAAACCTCCCCAAACTGAGCTAAGTAAACCCTTCCTTCATTAATTTGGACGTTGGGCATTTTGTCTCAGCAACAAAAGAAAAGTAACTAAGACAGATGTACTCATTTATCCTGGTATTGTGGTAGACTGATGGAGAATCAAAACTTCAAGCTTATCCTGGGAAACTTGGTGATTTAGTGAGACATTGGATCAAAATAAAAACAAAAAGGGCTGGACTTCCATGAGGGTGGCAGAGTGGTGAACAGCAAAAAAAAACCCCAAAATATTTCTTTGAGATTTGGTGTCCACGTGCTAGAATGTAGTAGCATGAGGAAGAGAAGACAGAAGTGGGCCCCAGGGGCCTTGAAAGGTTCTGGAGCAAGAATTGCAGCCCACAGGGAAAGCGAAGAGAGAGATCTCAGTGCAGAAGGAGGAGGCAAGTAGCACGTTCTCCCTGAGCCCTGACTCACGGCATGGGAGGGGCAGCTCAAACCTGTGGACACACAGTGACTATGGTGATCCCAGAGGCCTCCACAGAGAAGTGTAACCGTGGAGCGGAGCAGTAGGTACAGCAAACCTCAGTGACGCTGAGTTACTCAGGCTCTGACATC